CAAATACCGTTACTTTTCTCCTCTTCTGTAACAGACGAAATCTAAACTTTTTCACAGGATTTCTGCTACAGTCTCAGTCAAAATTGTTGGGACACTTTGCCATTTGCAAAGGGAGTTTGCATTAGATACTTAAGAATCTCATACCTCTGATTGTTGTAATTTGTTAATTCTACGCCTGTTAGTTATCCTTGTGTGGTCATTTAAGTCGGTTAACCGCTTAACAGTTCCCTTCGATCGTCCCTCGCTTATTTATGCTCTAAAAGTTTCGTCGTCGGTTATTTAATATTTCTTGTGAAAGGTTTGAACCCTATTTATTACAAACGATTTGTTTAGAAGAATTCCGTATGCTTTGAATGGTAGTTTTAATCCTTACGTAACAACACACATGCAAGGAACTGCACATACGTACAATGGAAATCCAGCGTTGTCAAAGAATCTAGGTTCTACCATGAAATTTGTAGCTTCTGTCTTTATCGCTGCCGCTGCTTAAACCGGAAAATTAAAAACCTGCAAAGTATTCGAGAATCTTTACTCTGGACGGTAGTGCTTCAACTTCCGTTGCAAATTGGTGACCAAAACATTTAAACATCTTGCCTAGCTTTGCCTCAGCAAACAAACGGAGTGGCTTGTACTTTTTGGTTCTTTGCTGCGAAGCCTTTGCTGGAGAAAGTTATAACAGTCGAACTTCCATGTGCGATCATCTCACATAAGCGACGGTCTATCCAAAACTTTTAGTACCACCTTTTAAGAAGATAGTTGAATATTTTCCGTTGTTTTAAACCGATCCCGTAAGCAATAGCTTGATAATTATAGGGTCGAAGCCCCTCTCTAGGTATCCGTTGTAGGGAAGTGGACGCAATTGCCAAATCAAAGATGACTTGGGATCCCTAGGCAAGCAAAAGTACATAAGAGAAAGGAGGGGTGGCCGTAAAGTCTTCCTTTCCTTGCATGCTCTTAAGCACTGTAGCCACCCCTAAACCAGATTCTTGCTCCCTTTATCACTGAACGAGAAAAACAATTATGATCCATTTGGGCGACGTTGTCGTTTGATTACAGGAATTTTTTTACAACGGGACCCGCTGGATCAACCATTACTTCTTTAAAGAATGGTACGCCACGTAAAAACGTTATAACCCTTCCGCGCCATTAAAAAATTTATTTTCTTCAGTTTTTTAAGACTTTAATGTCGATTGTGGTCAAACAGAAGTATTAACTTGCTCCCCCACCCCCAACCTGGGGAACCCATGGTATTTGACTTGCTTATGTACGCGGAAAGGTGGGCATTTGACCACAGTGAGTGCTATTGGGTTGTAGAACTTGATGGCATATAGGATTAGAAGAGGATTGAAACAAATTGTCTCAGTTTCATGTTAAACTATTTTGAGTGTTGTTAAAGTGTGATACCTTGATAAAATTATGGCGGGTATGGAAAATTGGGAAACTTGTGTTTTTTTCTGTTTCTCCTATTCCCCTTGCTGTTACCAAGCAAGTGGAAGGGGTCGGGTATATGGCAGCACATCTGCAACAAAAAAGTCCATTTTACTTCCAAAAAACTCCCACATACACTCATACAGTGTGAGCCACGTCAGAGGGTCAATCACAAGGCATATCAGTATTCAGCAGTTTTCGGAGAAAACCAGGAAGAATCAGATCAACTTCATCTGCGGAAGTTTCCATCAGTCTACAGCACCTGTTTTAAGATGTTTTTTTTACAGCTTTTTGTTATTTTGTTCAGAGATACTGTTTATAACTGTATATTAGATTTCACACCTCGTATGCTGTATAAATTTTCATGGTTGCCTGCATTTTGGGAGCTATTTCTGGAAGCACTTAAGTCACTTTTGTTAACGTTACACGTAGCTTGATGAAAGTGAAACCATAGTTAGTAGAGGAGACTGGTTAGGAAACCCGGCAAACATCAAAGTTGAAATTAATAGTGCTGTAGGTTATGTTGGAAGTTCCCTGACCGTGCACAATCCTTTGGTTTTTGTTCACAGATTGTGACTGAATAAATTAATGCAATGTTTCTATTGGTCAAAAACTTCAGAGTGATAGGAATGTTCTTGAGCGTTGTGCATGGTCAGGTTTAAAGTAGCTAACAAAAACCTATAACAAAGGGTTTCCCAGCCATTCCACTTTAATAAACTATGGTGAAATTGAAAGCTAAATGAAGGGAAAAATCCCTCATACAAGATTCATCTTTCACTTAGTAAAAGTTTTGATTGACGCTCAGGTTAGTTTTCTGCAGGTCCCGTCAATTTATTTGTGAAGGAAAATTCAATATACTTTTATACACAAACTTGTCTTACAAGGTATCGTTTCCTCGTAGATCCTTTAATCCGTTGTCACGAATCAAGGACCCACTGCTGTAGGCTTGCGAACTATCAAGATTCGGGAATTTACAGCTGAGGTATGCATTTAATACGTTAGCTTCAGCTACACCTCCATTGATTAAGAAATGCCTTTGGCTTTAATCGCTGGGATCTCTTCTGACGAGCTTTAGATCAGTCGAATTCGGCACGATGGTTTATATTTCGAGATGGCAAGACACAATTTTCATCACCTATCGTACCATGATCGAAGAAAAATCAAAACGCTTTGGAAGCGTACACTTCGGCGTCGAGGTTGTGGATTAATTGTGAATGCGAAGGAATAGTAGTAAGAAATGATATTTTTCCAGATACCCTTCAGTACAAATACCCTTACTTTTCTCCTTTTGGGTAACAGACGAAATCTAAACTTTTTCACAGGATTTCTGCTACAGTCTCAGTCAAAATTGTTGGGACACTTTGCCATTTGCAAAGGGAGTTTGCATTAGATACTTAAGAATCTCATACCTCTGATTGTTGTAATTTGTTAATTCTACGCGTGTTAGTTATCCTTGTGTGGTCATTTGAGTCGGTTAACCGCTAAACAGTTCCCTTCGATCGTCCCTTTCCCTTATTTATGCTCTTAAAGTTTCGTCGTTGGTTATTTAAAATTTCTTATTACAAAAGATTTGTTTAGAAGAATTCCGTATGCTTTGAATAGTAGTTTTAATCCTTACGTAACAACACACAAGGAACTGCATATACGTACAATAGAAATCCAGCGTTGTCAAAGCATCTAGGTTCTGCCATGAAATTTGTAGCTTCTGTCTTTATCGCTGCCGCTCCTTAAACTGGAAAATTAAAAACCTGCAAAGTATTCGAGAATCTTTACTCTGGACCGTAGTGCGTCAACTTCCGTTGCAAATTGGTGACCAAAACATTTAAACATCTTGCCTAGCTTTGCCTCAGCAAACAAACGGAGTGGCTTGTACTTTTTGGTTCTTTGCTGCGAAGCCTTTGCTGGAGAAAATTATAACAGTCGAACTTCCATGTGCGATCATCTCACATAAGCGACGGTCTATCCAAAACTTGTAGTACCACCTTTTAAGAAGATAGTTGAATATTTTCCGTTGTTTTAAACCGATCCCGTAAGCAATAGCTTGATAATTATAGGGTCGAAGCCCCTCTCTAGGTATCCGTTGTAGGGAAGTGGACGCAATTGCCAAATCAAAGATGACTTGGGATCCCTAGGCAAGCAAAAGTACACAAGAGAAAGGAGGGGTGGCCGTAAAGTCTTCCTTTCCTTGCATGCTCTTAAGCACTGTAGCCACCCCTAAACCAGATTCTTGCTCCCTTTAACACTGAACGAGAAAAAAATTATGATCCATTTGGGCGACGTTGTACTTTGATTACAGGAATTGTTTACAACGGGACCCGCTGGATCAACCATTACTTCTTTAAAGAATGTTACGCCACGTAAAAACGCTATAACCCTTCCGCGCCATTAAAAAATTTATTTTCCTCACTTCTTTAAGACTTTAATGTCGATTGTGGTCAAACAGAAGTATTAACTTGCTCCCCCACCCCCAACCTGGGGAACCCATGGTATTTGACTTGCTTATGTACGCGGAAAGGTGGGCATTTGACCACAGTGAGTGCTATTGGGTTGTAGAACTTGATGGCATATAGGATTAGAAGAGGATTGAAACAAATTGTCTCAATTTCATGTTAAACTATTTTGGGTGTTGTTAAAGTGTAATACCTTGATAAAATTATGGCGGGTATGGAAAATTGGGAAACTTGTGTTTTTTTCTGTTTCTCCTATTCCCCTTGCTGTTACCAAGCAAGTGGAAGGGGTCGGGTATATGGAAGCACATCTGCAACAAAAAAGTCCATTTTACTTCCAAAAAACTCCCACACACACACATACAGTGTGAGCCACGTCAGAGGGTCAATCACAAGGCATATCAGTATTCAGCAGTTTTCGGAGAAAACCAGGAAGAATAAGATCAACTTCATCTGCGGAAGTTTCCATCAGTCTACAGCACCTGTTTTAAGATGTTTTTTTTTTTTTACAGCTTTTTGTTATTTTGTTCAGAGATACTGTTTATAACTGTATATTAGATTTCACACCTCGTATGCTGTATAAAGTTTCATGGTTGCCTGCATTTTGGGAGCTATTTCTGGAAACACTTACGTCACTTTTGTTGACGTTACACCTAACTTGATCAAAGTGAAACCATAGTTAGTAAAGGAGACTGGTTAGAAAACCCGGCGAACATCAAAGTTGAAAATAATGGTGCTGTAGGTTATGTTGGAAGCTCCTTGACCGTGCACAATCCTTTGGTTTTTGTTCACAGATTGTGACTGAATAAATTAATGCAATGTTTCTATTGGTCAAGAACTTCAGAGTGATAGGAATGTTCTTGAACGTTGTGCATGGTCAGGTTTAAAATAGCTAAAAAAAACCTATAACAAAGGGTTCCCAGCCATTCCACTTTAATTAACTATAGTGAAACTGAAAGCTAAATGAAGGGAAAAATCCCTCATAAAAGATTCATCTTTCACTTGGTAAAAGTTTTAATTGACGCTCAGGTAAGTTTTCTGCAGGTTCCTTTATTTCATTTGTGACGGAAAATTCAATATACTTTTATACATAAACTTGTCTTACAAGGTATCGTTTCCTCGTAGATCCTTTTGTTGTCACGAATCAAGGACCCACTGCTGTACTCTTGCGAACTATCAAGACTCGGGAATCTACAGCTGAGGTATGCATTTAATACGTTAGCTTCAGTTACACCTCGATTGATTAAGAAATGCCTTTGGCTTTAATCGCTGGGATCTCTTCTGACGAGCTTTAGATCAGTCGAATTCGCCACGATCGTTTATATTTCGAGATGGCAAGACACAATTTTCATCAGCTATCGTACTCTGATCGAAGAAAAATCAAAACGCTGTGGGAGCATACACTTCCGCGTCGAGGTTGTGGATTAATTGTGAATGCGGAGGAATAGTAAGAAATGATATTTTTCCGGATAACCGTCCGTACAAATACCCTTACTTTTCTCCTTTTGTGTAACAGACGAAATCTTAACTTTTTCACAGGATTTCTGCTACAGTCTCAGTCAAAATTCTTGGGACACTTTGCCATTTGCAAAGGGAATTTGCATTAGATACTTAAGAATGTCATACCTCTGATCGTTGTAATTAATTAATTCTACGCGTGTTAGTTATCCGTGTGTGATCATTTGAGTCGGTTAACCGCTAAACAGTTCCCTTCGATCTTCCCTTTCGCTTATTTATGCTGTTAAAGTTTCGTCGTTCGTTATTTAATATTTCTTATAACAAACGATTGTTTAGAATAATTCCGTATGCTTTGAATGGTAGTTTTAATCCTTGCGTAACAACACACAAGGAACTGCACATACGTGCAATGGAAATCCAGCGTTGTCAAAGAATCTAGGTTCTACCATGAAATTTATAGCTTCTGTCTTTATCGCTGCCGCTGCTTAAACCGGAAAATTAAAAACCTGCAAAGTTTTCGAGAATCTTTACTCTGGACCGTAGTGCTTCAACTTCCGTTGCAAATTGATGACCAACATTTAAACATCTTGCCTAGCTTTGCCTCAGCAAACGAAAGGAGTGACTTGTACTTTTTGGTTCTTTGCTGCGAAGCCTTTGCTGGAGAAAATTATAACAGTCGAACTTCCATGTGCGATCATCTCACATAAGCGACAGTCTATCCAAAACTCGTAGTACCACCTTTTAAGAAGATAGTTGAATATTTTCCGTTGTTTTAAACCGATCCCGTAAGCAATAACTTGATAATTATAGGGTCGAAGCCCCTCTCTAGGAATCCGTTGTAGGGAAGTGGACGCAATTGCCAAATCAAAGATGACTTGGGATCCCTTGGCAAGCAAAAGTACATAAGAGAAAGGAGGGGTGGCAGTAAAGTCTTCCTTTCCTTGCATGCTCTTAAGCACTGTAGCCACCCCTAAACCAGATTCTTGCTCCCTTTATCACTGAACGAGAAAAACAATTATGATCCATTTGGGCGACGTTGTCGTTTGATTACAGGAATTGTTTACAACGGGACCCGCTGGATCAACCATTACTTCTTTAAAGAATGTTACGCCACGTAAAAACGTTATAACTCTTCCGCGCCAGTAAAAAATTTATTTTCTTCAGTTTTTTAAGACTTAAATGTCGATTGTGGTCAAACAGAAGTATTAACTTGCTCCCCGACCCCCAACCTGGAGAACCCAGGGTATTTGAGTGACTTGCTGATGTACGCGGAAAGGTGGGAATTTGATAACAGTGAGTGCTATTGGGGTGCAGAACTTGATTGCATATAGAATTAGAAGAGGATTGAAACAAATTGTCTCAATTTCATGTTAAACTATTTTTGGTGTTGTTAAAGTGTAATACCTTGATAAAATTATGGCGGGTATGGAAAATTGGGAAACTTGTGTTTTTTTCTGTTTCTTCTATTCCCCTTGCTGTTACCAAGCAAGTGGAAGGGGTTGGGTATATGGCAGCACATCTACAGCAATAAAGTTCCCAAAAATCTCCCACACACACTCGTACAGTGTGAGCCACGTCAGAGGGCTCATTTTTTAGATGTTTTTTTTCTTTTTAAAGCTTTTTTTTTTTTGTTCAGAGATACTGTTGATAACTGTATATTAGATTTCACGCCTCGTATGCTGTATAAATTTTCATGGTTGCCTGCATTTTGGGAGCTATTTCTGGAAGCACTTACGTCACTTTTGTTGACGTTACACGCAGCTTGATCAAAGTGAAACCATAGTTAGTAGAGGAGACTGGTCAGGAAACCCGGCAAACATCAAAGTTGAAATTAATAGTGCTGTAAGTTATGTTGGAAGCTCCCTGACCGTGCACAATCCTTTGGTTTTTGTTCACAGATTGTGACTGAATAAATTATTGCAATGTTTCTATGATAGGAATGTTCTTGAACGTTGTGCATGGTCAGGTTTAAAATAGCTAACAAAAACCTATAACAAAGGGTTTCCGAACCATTCCACTTAAATTAACTATGGTGAAATTGAAAGCTAAATGAAGGGAAAAATCCCTCATACAAGATTCATCTTTCACTTAGTAAAAATTTTGATTGATGCTCAGGTTAGTTTTGTGCAGGTGCCGTTATTTCATTTTTGAAGGAAAATTCAATTGACTTTTATTCATAAACTTGCCTTACAAGGTATGGTTTCCTCGTAGATCCTCGGGCACGAATCAAGAACCCACCGCTGTAGTCTTGCGAACTATCAAGATTCGGGAATTTACAGCTGAGGTATGCATTTAATACGTTAGCTTCAGTTACACCTCGATTAATTAAGAAATGCCTTTGGCTTTAATTACTGGGATTTTTTTCTGACGAGCTTTAGATCAGTCGAATTCGGCGCGATCGTTTATATTTCGAGATGGCAAGACACAATTTTCATCATCAGCTATCGTACTCTGATCGAACAAAAATCAAAACGCTGTGGGAGCCGTACACTTCGGCGTCGTGGTTGTGGATTAATTGTGAATGCGGAGGAATAGTAAGAAATAATATTTTTCGGATACCCTTCCGTACAAATACCCTTACTTTTCTCCTTTTCTGTAACAGACGAAATCTTAACTTTTTCACCGGAAGTCTGCTACAGTCTCAGTCAAAATTGTTGGGACACTTTGCCATTTGCAAAGGGAGTTTGCATTAGATACTTAAGAATCTCATACCTCTGTGATTGCTGTAATTTGTTAATTCTACGCTTGTTAGTTATCCGTTTGTGATCATTTGAGTCGGTTAACCGCAAAACAGTTCCCTTCGATCGTCCCTTTCGCTTATTTACCCTCTAAAAGTTTCGTCGTCGATTATTTAATATTTCTTATTACAAACGATTTGTTTAGAAGAATTCCGTATGCTTTGAATGGTAGTTTTAATCCTTACGTAACAACAAACAAGGAATTGCACATACGGACAATAGAAATTCAGCGTTGTCAAAGAATGAGGGTCTTAAAATCTAGGTTCTACAATGAAATTTGTAGCTTCTGTCTTTATCGCTGTCGCTGCTTAAACCGGAAAATTAAAAACCTGCAAAGTATTCGAGAATCTTTATGGTTCAACTTCCGTTGGAAATTGGTGACTAAAAGATTTAAATATCTTGCCTCAGCAAACGAACGGAGTGGCTTGTACTTTTTGGTTCTTTGCTGCGAAGCCTTTGCTGGAGAAAATTATATAATAGTCGAACTTCCATGTGCGATCATCTCACATAAGCGACAGTCTATCCAAAACTCGTAGTACCACCTTTTAAGAAGATGGTTGAATACTCTTCGTTCTTTTAAACCGATCCCGTAAGTAAAAGCTTGATACACAGTCTAAGCCCCTCTCTAAGTATCCGTTGTAGGGACATGTGATGCTATTGCCAAATAAAAGATGACTTGAGATCCCTAGGCAAACAAAAGTACATAAGATGGAGGGGGGGGGGGGCTGAAAGCCTTCCTTTCCTTGCTCTTAAGCACTGTACCCGCCCCTACACCAGATTCTTGCTCCCTCTTAACACTGAACGAGAAAAAAAAATATGATCCATTTGGACGACGACGTCGTTTGATTTCAGGAAATGTTTACAGTGGGGACCCGCTGGATCAACCAAAAATTACTTCTTTAAAGCATGTTACGCCACGTAAGAAAGTTAAAACCCTTCCGCGCCGTTAGAAAATTTTATTTCCTTCAGTTCTTTAAGACTTTAATGTCGATTGTGGTCAAACAGAAGTATTAACTTGCTCCCCCATCCCCAACCTGGGGAACCCAGGGTATTTGACTTGCTGATGTACGCGGAAAGGAGGGAATTTGATAACAGTTACTGCTATTGGGGTGAACTTGATGGCATATAGGATTAGACGAGGATTGAAACAAATTGTCTCAATTTCATGTTAAACTATTTTTGGTGTTGTTAAAGTGCAATACTTTGATAAAATTATGGCGGGTATGGAAAATTGGGAAACTTGTGGTTTTTTCTGTCTCTCCTATTCCCCTTGCTGTTACCAAGCAAGTGGAAGGGGTCGCGTATATGGCAGCACATCTGCAACAAAAAAGTCCATTTTACTTCCAAAAAACTCCCACTCACACTCATACAGAGTGAGCCACGTCAGAGGGTCAATCACAAGGCATATCAGTATCCAGCAGTTTTCGGACAAAAACAGGAAGAATTAGATCAACTTCATCTGCGGAAGGTTCCATCAGTCTACAGCACCTGTTTAAAGATGTGTTTTTAAAGCTTTTTATTATTTTGTTCAGAGATACTGTTGACAACTGTATATTAGATTTCACGCGTCGTATGCTGTATAAATTTTTTGTGGTTGCCTGCATTTTGGGAGCTATTTCTGGAAGCACTTACGTCACTTTTGTTGACGTTACACGTAGCTTCATCAAAGTGAAACCATAGTTAGTAGAGGAAACTGGTTAGGAAACCCGGCAAACATCAAAGTTGAAAATAATAGTGCTGTAAGTTATGTTGGAAGCTCCCTGACCGTGCACAATCCTTTGTTTTTTGCTCACAGATTGTGGCTGAATAATTAATGCAATGTTTCTATTGGTCAGTAGTTCAAAATGATAGGAAAGCTATTGAACGTTGTGCATGGTTAGGTTCAAAACAGCTAACAAAAACTTATAACAAAGGGTTTCCCAACCATTCCACTTTAATTAACTATGATGAAACGGAAAGCTAAATGAAGGGAAAAATCCCTCATACAAGATTCATCTTTTACTTGGTAAAAGTTTTGATTGACGCTCAGGTTAGTTTTCTGCAGGTCCCGTTATTTCATTTGTGAAGGAAAATTCAATTGACTTTTTTACATAAACTTGTCTTACAAAGTATCATTTCCTCGTAGATCCTTTCGTCGTCACGAATCAAGGACCCATTGCTGTACTCTTGCGAACTATCAAGATTCGGGAATTTACAGCTGAGGTATGCATCTAATACGTTAGCTTCAGTTACACCTCTATTGATTAAGAAATGCCTTTGGCTTTAATCGCTGGGATCTTTTCTGACGAGCTTTAGATCAGTCGTATTCGGCACGATCGTTTGTATTTCGAGATGGCAAGACACGATTTTCAGCTATCGTACCGTGATCGAAGAAAAATCAAAACGCTATGGAAGCGTACACTTCGGCGTCGTGGTTGTGGATTAATTGTGAATGCGGAGGAATAGTAAAAAATGATATTTTTCCGGATACCCTTCCGTACAAAATACCCTTACTTTTCTTCTTTTCTGTAACAGACGAAATCTTAACTTTTTCACCGGAAGTCTGCTACAGTCTCAGTCAAAATTGTTGGGACACTTTGCCATTTGCACAGGGGCTTTGCATTAGATAAGAAAGAATCTCATACCTCTTTGATTGCTGTAATCTGTTAATTCTCCGCGTGTTAGTTATCCGTGTGTGATCATTTGAGTCGGTTAACCGCTAAACAGTTCCCTTCGATCATCCCTTTCGCTTAGTTATTGTCTAAAGGTTTCGTCGTCGGTTATTTAATATTTGTTATTACAAACGATTTGTTTAGAAGGATTCCTTACGCTTTGAATGGCAGTTTTAATCCTTACGTAACAACAAACAAGGAACTGCACATACGGTCAATGGAAATCCAGCGTTGTCAAAGGATGTGGTTCTTAAAATCTAGGTTCTTATACGCGGGATTTACTGTATCCATAAGGATAAAACAGAACCATCAATGAGTTCCAACCCTGGGGGGAGAAAAACTCCGACCTGTTTTCTTACTGATGAGCACGGAAAGCGAGAATTTGTCTAAAGGAGTAAGGGATTGGAAGGAAGGAGGGGAGGAAGGGGTGGGTAATTTGATACCATATTATTAGTTGCGGATTAAAAAAGACAAACTGCCGCAATCTCTTGAAATGAATTCATATCACCTTGATAAAATTTTAGCGGATATATAAAGTTGGGAGGAGTTTGAGGAAAAACTGTCTTTCGCAGTATTACGAGTTAAATTTGTCACCAGTCTATTGAGCGGCCACCTCTGATAAAGCCTGTATACAGACGTTGTTTTATTTTTCTTTTCGTTCTTTTCGAAAACATCGGCAAGTGCGGAGCGCGAGAATCGAAAGAAAAGTAAAGAACGTCCTCTATTTTCTTCTTCCCCTACCCTTACCCCCTTGCACTAGCGGTCAATAAATCCCCCGCGGGATATATATCTTTTATAGCCTGATAGCCTGTGTACAGACCCCCGTCAGTAACAATCGGAGATCGGGCTCCTTCTCCAAATTTTTACTGAGGTGGGGAGGGGGAGGGGTCTGTGCACATTCAATATTTTTTATCACCGACGCGCGCTCGACGGACTTTGAAGAGAAAATGGAGGGTCTGTGAATAGACTACAAATAATTGTAGAAAAGAATAGAAAATTAAACCTCTATTGAGCGGCCACCCCTATTAAGCGATCGCGGCCACCTTTCTGCCGTTCCAACAATAGTTTTTCCATAGTTGTCAACTCTATTAAGCGGCCATCAAGCACTAACTTCACGCACCAACTTTAGCTATATTTTAAGAATATGATGAAGACAGTCCGAGATAGAAAGAGACGGCCGATTGTGGACTAGTAATGTGTCCCCCGTTGCGTGTTCGTTTTAAAATGAAGCGATGTTTCTAGACCAAAGAATATGCATGAATGGAGACCAATGGAGAAACCGATATCCTTGGTTGTGGACATTTCATACAAATTCACTCTTGCATGAGTATTTTCTTTCTTTAAACACTTGCATAAGTGATAAAAAATGTGTACTTTTTACATGGATTGAGTGCTTGATAATGAAGGCCCTCATATTCAATAATCATAAGTTATAATCACTTTAATAATTCTCATGAACTGCATCCTTAATGGCATTGCCTCATGTAATCTGATTTTTTATCTCAGTGATTATGTTTACGGTTGTTGCTATATATATTCAAATCAAACTAGAGATTTCCTAGCCTGCGAACAGCAGACGTATTTCTGGGAGAGAAGCGACGACCGAAAATACGTCTGCTGTTCGCAGGCTACCCATTTGCTCCTGTTGCACACTAATGTCATGGACAAAAACAAACTGGAGGACAGACAGGAAGCAGTATTAAAGATCAAATGCTGCGACTGCTAGGCTACTTACATAGGTGAAACCCGCAGAAATCATAACACGCGACTGACCGAACGCAAACGAGCGACGAGAAATGGTGACGTCAAAAATCACATTGCTGATCACCATTTACAGACGAAACATCAAAGCGACTGGGACTCTGCGACATGTATTATGCACCTATCAATGTAAACCCCGTTGGGTTGGGGGGCGAGTGCGGGCAAGGGGTGGGGATTTGACAAATTTAAAATTTTTTGATCAAATTCCCCAGGGTGGAAAACGAAAGGTCAATCAAAAGTGTCCAAAAAAGCCCCCACCCCAGGGGAAAAAATCTAAACAAACAATACTATAACACTATATAAAACGAATTAAAAGAATATTTCAAAAGTACGTTCTTACTACTTTTATTTAAGATTAAGGTAAGCTCCGTTAAATTCCTCGCTGTAATTAAGTATTTTCTCTCTCCACTAGCATCTCTTATTTTGAACAACAAAATCACTCCAGGAAGATTGACCGTGCTATTATAATATTAATGAAACGTAAAATGCTTTATAACATCTGCCCAACATGTCGGAACAGGTCGGATTAGTGACCCGTAAAAAATCCTCTGACTTTCATGGTGGAATTCGATTTCAGTCGAGTTTTACAATCAGATGGGAACTTGAAGATAAAAACTTTCTCAAAATAGACATTATCTGTTTAGATGACAGTTTAAAGTATCGGATTATGGCGATTAAAACAGATTAAAACAAATGAAAACGTCATACCTTTCTCCAACAGCGTGACTTTCAGAAAGCCTCGAGGGACGGACTTGGTAACCGCTTCTGAATTGAATTGATACCAGGCGTCTGTCGGTCAAAGTCAAATGTCCCGACCCCGGGGTCGCTTCACACCATCAAAGGCCCGACAGAGGGGATAGTGTCAGGTATCAAATCCCCGCCCCTTGCCCTCCCCCCCACGGGATTGACATTGATAGGTGCATTACGTATTCTCAGACTACTATCAACGACCCACTTTAAAAAGCTGGTTTACTAACTGAGAACAAACGTCACTGAATCGTAGTCAACAGTTGCCGGCACTGTACAAACGACTTTATTGACGGACTCAAGCAAAACTAATTACGAAAGAATGACTGGATAACCCACAATTGGACTAACATAAACGACTGTTTAACTGTGACAATATAAACGGATGGAAAGTCAACTGTCCAATGACATTACCAGTCTTCATAGCTAATATTAAAATCACTACTAACTGACAGGCGACCAATAACATCGCGAAATTAACCAGTCAGATCAATAACCAGAGTTTAATACAGTCGAACCTCCCGCAAGCGAGCGCCCAAAATGCAAAGACTTAGTGGTCGCTTACGGGAGGTGGTCGCTTACAAGAATAGAACCACAGGGGGCCTCTTCCTAGAAGAGGTCTGAGCACAGTACTTTATGAAAGATGATTTATTGTATGCAATGTCTTAGTTACGCCATGTGTACTGAGTTCAAAGTTGTTTCTAAAGTTCTTCGTACATGTCGTATATTCTAAGTAGCATAGTGCACACAGCGAACTAGGGATCAGAGAATGCGTCCAGTGGTCGAGTTTGGTCGCTTACTAGAGCTTAAAAACAATGGAAAATCATTAAACTTTCAGGCCCAAAAAGTGATCGCGGTCGCTTACAAGAGGTGGTCGTTTACTAGAGGTTCCAACTGTAAGGCTTTGACTGGGAAAGTTTTGGTGCATGAGTTTTGGATAGGCGGACTCTTATGGGAGGTGGTCGCTTACGAGAGGTGGTCCTACGTGGAGGTTCGACTGTACCATCAACTGACGTAGTACAACTCACTTTGACTCTGCAGATTATTACCGCGCGTCAGTCAATGTCAATGCAACAAATACTTCACGAGTGAGCGCAGCGAACGAGTAAAATATGTTTCAACACTCAAAGAGAATTTTCCCATCACCAGGCGGCCATATAATATCCTCTATGTATACACCATGTTTAAACAATGGTAAATCTTTTTCTTTGGTGTTGTTTTTTTTAATCTCGATTATTATCACCAAACAAATGTTAATATTTTTCTATTTTACAGAAGCCCCCAGTCATACTATACAACAAATGAAAAACACGTAGAAGGATCCGTTTTTGAGGCAAATCAAATGTGACTGTGATAGACAAAAACAAATAGTACAGGGGTTAATAAATAAGCTTTTACTCCAGCTTTTAATTTACTTTTCAGACCCTCTTCGTTATCGTAGATAAAGAGACTGATGGTATCAGCAGCAAAAGAAAACCACAATATGAGGCTGAGCTGAAATAGCAAGGCCAGCAAAAAAAAAAATATGGGAGACAGGGCAGGAGAAGGAAAAGCGTACTGTGATCGTGGCAACGCCTATCACAGTCTTGGAGATTTCCAGAAAGCCATAGAGTACCATCAACGACACCTCAAAATTTGGGAAGAAGTGGGAGACAGGGCAGGACAAGGAATAGCGTACTGTGGTCTTGGCAACGCCTATCACAGTCTTGGATATTTCCAGAAAGCCATAGAGTACCATGAAGGACACCTCAAAATTTCGAAAGAAGTGGGAGACAAGGCAGGAGAAGGAAAAGCGTACTGTAATCTTGGCAACGCCTATCAAAGTCTTGGATATTTCCAGAAAGCCATAGAGTACCATGAACGACACCTCGAAATTTCGAAAGAAGTGGGAGACAGGGCAGGAGAAGGAAGAGCGTGCGGTAATCTTGGCATTGACTATTTTCGTCGTGGAGATTTCCAGGAAGCCAAACACTACCATGAACTACACCTCAAAATTTTGAATGAAGAGGGAGACAGGGCAGGAAAAGGAAAAGCGTCCGGTAATCTTGGCAACGCCTATCACGGTCTTGGAGATTTCCAGAAAGCCATAGAGTGCCATGGACGAGACCTCAATATTTCGAAAGAAGTGGGAGACAGGGCAGGAGAAGGAAGAGCGTACGCTAATCTTGGCAACGACTATTACCGTCTTGGATATTTCCAGAAAGCCATAGAGTGCCATGAAGGACACCTCAAAATTTCGAAAGAAGTGAGAGACAGGGAAGGAGAAGGAAAAGCGTACTATAATCTTGCCAACGTCTATCACAGTGTTGAAGATTTCCAGAAAGCCGTTCAGTGTTATAAGAACAGTCTTATAGCCTTGGACCACATTAGGAGAAATCTCATATCTAACGACGAATGGAAGATTACCCTTAAAAGTACGTATGATCATATTAATTTGAGGCTGTGGGAGCTGCAGTTTAAGGAAGGTAAAGTCAGTGAGGCACTTTTAACTGCTGATCAAGGACGTGCACAAGCCTTAAACGATCTTCTGGAGTTCAAGTATGGCCTTAAAGAGTTACACCCAGAAATAGGAACACTTTCTGCAAGACCAAGTGACTTTGCTTGTTACCTACCACCAAATACAGCTTTCATGGGTATCAGCGAGGGAGGAATAGTTGTCTGGGTGAACGAGAAAGGAAATGAAATCAAAACTAGAAGAACTGAGATTGATGTGTCCGTCACAACCTATTTTCAGTCTCTGTTGGAGGCTACACATAACGAAATAGGTGTAAGAGGTGAGGTTAATTGTGAAGATCGTTCATTAGGTAACCCAAGCGATAAGAAGTTAGCAGAAGAAAGATCAAGTAAGCCAAAGTCTCATCCTTCATATTTTGAGGCAAAGTCATTGCAAACATTTTACAACGTTGTCATAGACCCTATAAGAGACTTACTCCAGGGCGATGAGGTTGTGATTGTTCCAGAAGGACCTCTGTGTTTGGCGCCTTATGCTGCTTTCATGGACTTGAAATCAAAGTACCTCTGCGAAACGTTTAGAATTCGTCTGCTCCCCTCGCTTTCTAGTCTGCGATTAATCGAAAATTGTCCAGCAGATTGGCACAGCAAGACCGACGCTCTTCTTGTCGGCGATCCGTGGGTACAGGAGGTAACGACGCTAGGGCAGTTAGAGTGGGCCGAAAAAGAAGTGCAGATGATTGGGGAAATACTTCAAACGGAACCTCTCGTTGGAAAGCAGGCAACAAAAGATGAAGTTTTGAGACGTATCTCCTCGGTTGCTTTGGTGCACATTGCTGCTCACGGTGAAATGGAAACAGGAGAAATTGTTTTGGCCCCAAACACAACGCCTCCATCCGTGGATCCAGCCAGGGAGGACTATATCTTAACTATGAAAGATGTTTTAAAGGCGCAGATTAGGGCAAGACTTGTTGTACTTAGTTGTTGTCATAGTGCTCGGGGAGAAGTCAAATCTGAGGGTGTGGTCGGCATCGCGCGTGCTTTTTTGGGTGCCGGTGCTCGTTCTGTTCTGGTCTCCCTATGGGCGATTGACGACGAGGCTACGATGGAGTTCATGGAATTTTTCTACCGACAACTAGTCAATGGAAGAAGTGCCAGTGAGGCTCTAAATAAAGCCATGAAATCCATGAGAGAATCTGACCGCTTTAGTGCAGTGAAGTACTGGGCACCGTTTGTTCTCATTGGTGACGACGTGACGCTTGAGTTTGAGGGCATCAAATAAATAGCAAGGTATTTTGGGATGTATTTAAACCTGGGATCATATTACGTGCTTAAACAAAATTTTTATAAGGCAACGAACTCAACCGGTGCCACTTAACATCAAGTTGCCAATCACAGGTCATGTCAGCAGTTAAAAAGGACTCTGACTTTAGGACATTTTAGGCAGTCAAACACAAGAACATTTCTGTACCTTACAATTCTCGGTGGCTCTTTTTGAGTTCGTTCCTTTGTAACATTACAGTAGAACCTGCCGTAAGAGACGACCTAAAATGCCAATATTTGCCGGTCACTTACGAACGGTGATCGCTAAAGAGTGGTTCCAGGTTTGGTGCTTTGGGTGGAAAAGTGATTTTGGTATTTTTGATGGTTGGTTGGTTATAAGATGCAACAGTGGTCATACTCACCGACTGAAAGGTAGGAACCTACCGTAAATCCTCTATTAAGCCCCTCCCCCGGGGACTTATTTGTTTCAAGCATGTTTAAGGGGGGGGGAGTTGATAGAGAGGGGGTTATTTAATTAAGCCAAGATTGTGGTGTGACTATCGATTCTCTATTCCGAATAGAGACCGAAGCTAAAGTAGAAAAACTGAATCATATGAAGTTGGAGGTCGCGCAGCAGAAGATCAAAAACAAATTTGAACTTCCAGGACGTGAATAAACCATACGGGATCAGTCCACGTGAGGTGTTACAATCGTGATTAATTATTACATCTACCATACGTCTATTATTTAAGAATATGGGCTGGGGGCTTAAAAGGAAAGAATTTTTTTCCCTGTATTTGGGGGGAGGGGCTTACTGGATAGGGGGGCTTCATAGAGGATTTACGGTATAAAAGTATCAATAATCTACAATAAGGCTCTTTGTAGAATGAAGTTTAGAATTTTGTACCTCGCCGGCTGAAATCACTATCCTTTCCTTTTACTAGTTTGCTAACGTTTCTTTTTGCTGTTTTTGTTGTATAGGTACGAAGCGAATGCAGTGAAGCGGTTCCTATCTGAAGTTGAACTCAGTTTTATTGTGTAACAAATACAAAGTGGAGCGTTCATCGCGTAGGAACTCCTTATTCCGAAGAGAAAATCAAGTGTACTTTTCGTAGATTGTTTTAGAAGACTAGTCGTGTGCACACCTTGTGCAGTAGTAACTTGTTCAGTAGTCACCTGAGAAGGACATCAGGAATCAGTAGTCAATTCTTATTTTCATTATTATACCATATTTTACAGAGTCATTTTAGACGTGTCTATTGACAATATGATATAGTTTTTGATGCTTTTATTATAGTTACACAGTCGTAGTTTTTATTCTTTTGGCTGATCAGTTTACTCTTACTGTCTACAAAAGTCTTAATTCTAATTTTGTAGTCAAATTGCTTATTGAATTGCTGGGTTAAATCACTAATTTTGTAGTTTTACATTTACTCGCTTTTAGTTATGCGTAGGACTGCTATTTCATAGGTTTGTTCGCGTGTGGTTTGTTTCAATATCAAGTTTTCTTATTTCTATTGTTGGCACCTTTTATCTGCAAGTTGGTCGTAACTTTGCCGTTTACTGTACCCCTTTTTACTGTCGAACTATTCATTTGTTTAACTGCGTATAAATACGACTACTTAATTCAGTTTCTCCAGTTTTTTGGCTCGGCTAGTTAACTTTGCCATTTACCTGCGGTGCTTAGCTCCCCAGAAGGTCTCGACCTCTGGTATTTTATTACTGTTTGGCCAACTCAGTCACGCCTCCCCTTCACAACTTAGATCTTCGTTTCGGCAAACGATACACAGCGAGGAACTCGGAGACAAACGATTTGGTTTCTTAGGACAGTGTAAGAACCTGGGGAGACCTTGTTGGGCAATTGAAACAACTCCAGCAACAGGATAAGGTTCTATATTAAATTAGTCATACGCATTCAAAGCAACATCTGATATTAACTGTGCTATCTCACGGCGTCTTCAGCCCTGTTGTGACACCGCGTGAACGGATGGCTCTACGCAAGTTTGCCAGAAAAAAAAAGAAGCCACATGAATTGACCCCACGAAGTGTCCTTTGCACAAACGCTACAAATTCCAGTTAGTGTACTCTATTTTATTTGCTTATTTTATTGCTTTGTTAATTGGACCCTCGAGGCCCCTATATTCAGGCTAGTTCGGTTTATGCCGCGGTTCAGACACAAAATCAAATACAAAATTTCAAAAACCAGAAAAACAAATATATAAAAAAAATTCAAAACTACACGCAAAATACAAGTTTCCAGTTTTATTCGCTGCGCTTTTGTTTTTTTCTCTTTAAGACAATTATCGTTTTAACTTCATTTTTTTTCTCCACTCAGCTGAGGACAGCTGAAACTTAAGGTGGAGGAATGTGAAAAGAGAATTTATTGTTATTAAGTTATTTTGCTTTCGCTGATAAAAATATAAAAAGCCAATGTAGAAATTCTTTATTCTTTAGTCTTAGCTTCTCTAAACCGTAAACAACCTGTTGATATTTATTGAGCGTAAACTTATTTGTCGAGTCATGATTGTAGTAGCCTCCGAGCTATAATCAACCTGTGACGAACGGTTATCTACTTGTGTAAACTTTTGGAAGTAATTAATGTTTGACTACAAGCTTCCATTTCCACCAATAGTCCTCCAGAAATGATTTTTGTATTCGGTTATTTTGACTCGTTGAGTTATGATAATGTAATCTTTATCGTATCATTAGCTTAGGCTTAAATACAAGTGCTTTGTATGAATTTCTTGGGTTGCATCCTAGTTACGTCTTGGATTAAACCTCTGCATTGGAGCCAAGTTCTGTGTACAATTGTTGTCTCAAGGGTATTCAACAGGCGTAAGGGATTCCGTGCCATTTCGCAGCCAGCGAGTGTCCCCAGGAAAAGGCCTTTCCCAGAGAGCATTGTAGAGTTTTCCCCGTCGTCCGTTTATCCTTTTGTGAAGGCAAAAACCTGTTTCCACACTGGTGTTTAAGTGAAAAAGCTGTTTTCAAATTTCTTTTCCCAACGAAAAATTCTAATGATCCAGACTTGTTATCTGATAAAAACGCACTCTGAGTTTCCAGCTCGGCTAGTTAGCTAGCGCTTTTTTATTTAGCTGTCAGCTGCCCAAAATGTCTTGATCTCTGGTAATTTTTTACTGTGTGGCCCTCTCAGTCACCCCTCCCTTCACGACTAAGTTCTTACTGTGTGGCCCTCTCAGTCACCCCTCCTTTCACAACTTAGTTCTTACTGTGTGGCCCTCTAAGTCACCCCTCCCTTCACAACCTAGTTCGTTGTGTCGGCAACCGATATACAGTTTTGGTTTTCCAAGGCAATCAGGGGCGTTGCCAACAATTTGTTCCTTTTAAGCCCGAGTTGTAGAAGTCTTGAAAGGGCGGACCGGGGTCGGGGGAGGGGCTGAGGACATAAAAAAAAATCTGAATAGTACATCATTGTCAAGGGAATTACCTTAATTAATTCTTTAGAAATGCTTATTCCCAAGAGACTCGAATTGTTTGAGGTTGAATTCTAAAATATGGAAATTGGTCAATTCGTGTGGAGTGGTCAAACAGTCGTTTTGCCAGAGAGAGATGAGTAACTCAAAGGAATACTATTCTGAACGTTAAGGCAGAGTAGTTTTGGAAACGCGTTCGGACCTCCCACTTCGACAGAGTTTTGTGTCCGTCGTCCAACGAGTCACGTTGCAAACAAGGACGTTCGCAGGTAAAAATTGGAGATGTAATGTCAAATTCGTTTAAAAGTGACGAGGCCGGTGATGCGAATATCTAGTTTGCGCTATGACAACAGCCGACGAAGAAAGTGAAGTCCAAGAAAATGTGGTAAGTACATTGAACTGGAAAAATTCTGACTTGTGCAGTTTTAGTGGGATGGTTAAACATGTTCAGAGGAACATGAGCAGGGGAATGAAAAAATATATTGCCGCATAGTTCTGTTATTGTTATCAGCTACTAATTGTTTCAACCCCGCACCCTGCCTTCTATTACAGTCAAAACCGCCACCAACGTTTCAGACAGTGAATAATACTGTGAGGGATTATTTAACAAATGATTCCCTTAAAAAGAACAAAAATAACCAAGACAAGGGAAAAATAATTGCTGTAAATACACTGCCTTTAAAATTTGAATAAATAAGAAAACCAGCACGTGCTCCAGAATTTTTTACAGCCATAACATGCATCAGGGGCACCCAATAGATCTGTTTCTAAAAAAATATATGTTCTTCAGGCCAATTTTTGCTGGATGGGAGTTTGGAAGAAGTGATATGTCCAAAGATGGAAAGTGTTGCTTGGAAAAATATAACTGTGGGTGTCTGTTGGGATTTGATGTGTAGAATATCTGGCATGAGTTTTTTTGCCAGAAACTTCCCCACCCCCTGAAGGGATAAATTCGCCTTTTGGCCACACCCATGTTTCTATGCCCCCCTCTACCCCCCACTGAAGGTGTGAATTTTGTCCTGTGTCCTCACCCAAACCGGCCAGAAGTGCCTGGAGATACCTCTGCTGGGAAACTTCCCAGTAAGTCAGGTTGCGTATTGTAGGTACACCTTGCTGGCTTGGAACTCTTTCATCAGTCTTGCTGGGAGAGAGGAACACTTAAATTTTTCCCAGCAATCTCCCAATCGAAGTGACTACACACAGAGAGAGTCAAATAAAGGTAAAGGTAATGAAGTAAAGCAGTCCCCACCCCTTCCATTTTCTCAGGGAAACGCCCTGGGAACGAGGTTAAAGCGGGGACCCTCCTCTTGAGTCTTTTGTGAAGGGAAAAACCTGTTTCTACACTGGTGTTTAAGTGAAAAAGCTGTTTTCACATTTGGATACAACGTTTCTTTTCCTAAAGAAAAATCCCAATGATCCGGATTTTTGATCTGATCTTGGATTTTAGTAAAGAAACGCTTAGTTAGAAACGTTTAGTTTGCTCGGCTAGATAGCTTTCTTATTTAGCTTTCAGTGGAGCTTAATTAGCTCCGCAAAGTGTCTCGATCTCTGGTAATTTTTCACTGTGTGGCCCTCTCATGATCAG